CACAGGGCACTGTATAGCCTCCATAAGCTCCCCTCCCCTACACCAACCATACAACAACGAAGTAAAATGCTTCAGATCCGGTTTCCACCGATACCTCATGTCCTCAAAGAGTGAAGCAGCTTCCTTAACACTTCCATTCTTGCACAATGCATCCAACAAACATCCAAAAACATATTCATCTGGCTCACACCCGTACTTGGGCATCTCATCCAACACCTCAATTGCCTTGTGAACCATCCTAGCCGAGGCAAACCTCCTCATCAAAATAACAAAAACTTGCGGCGAAATCAAGTGAGGGTTCTCCTCCCTCATTTCCTCAATCAGTGCCCACACAGCACCAAACTGCCGCATCCTACCCAAAACCTTAATCATTGCTTTATACACGTCTTGATCATGTTGATGACCGGATTGCTTAGAGGCCCAGGCATAAAACCTGTACGCCAAATTCCCGGCATCACCACACCTATTCAACACACGCTCGGTTAATCCAGGCCTCACAAAAACCCCAGATTCTCTCAAAGCTAGTTCCAATTTGGGAACCCTAGAATGGTACTTTCTCAATATTCTATAAACCTTTTCCACATCAGAAGCAAACTCGTCATGGCATTGATCGTTTGGCTGGTTTATTGAAATCTCTTCTAGGTGAATCAGGCCAAATTGGCTTGCTATGCTATTGTTGATGTTGCTATTGGCAAATGTTGAGCATTTAGAATTGGAATTTGGTGGGCACTGGGAAGAGGTTTGAGAACTTGCATCGGAGGTAGTGGAGAAAAAATGGCATATGGTGTTTTTGTGTCTGATTACTAGTGATTTTCTCGATAAAAGGGGAGAAACACCACGTTTTCTGAAGAAAAGCGCTGAAAATCTCTGCATGTTCTTTTGGGGTTTCTGCGCATGCTCAATTTCAAAATCTACTATCACTACTACCCATTTTTGTGCTGCAACCGTAGGAGCAGTAAGTTTGACGCTGATATTCCAAATCACCCAAAATGCTTGCCACTGCATTTATTAGGGACGAACATGTTAAATTTGACTGTCTTCTGAATTTTCTTTTAACCATTTTACTATTATTTTATCCATGACTATTAATCTCTAATTAGAACATGATAAATATTTTTTGTGAATTTTTCTGTCTTGGACACATTTTTTTATCTATAAAATTTAACTTAAAACTGGATAGGATAGATACCGAATACTTAAGAAATGACTTATCTTACTGCAATTGAAGACGATGAAAGATGAAATATATACATTTATATTAAAATTATTATTATTATTATTATAGAAAATTTTAAAACTTACCACAATAATTTAGATTTTAATTTAATTACAAGTAAATTGCAACTACCCATAGTTGTGACAATTATACATATTTTGATGTTTTCTTCGTGTCTATCTTTCAAAAATCCTTAGAATCCCGTGTTAGTAGTGTCAAACTCTTCACTAAAGATACGAATGTGCTGTTGAAAAACATACTCAACATGATCACCTTCTCAAATGAGGAAGACCCATTGATACTGTAATGTATAAGTTGTTTGTGACATTTTGTTCAATTCATTCTGTAATGCACAACAAACAAAAATTACAGGAGAAGGAGAAGTGGAGTCAAACCTGAGAAAAGAAGTTCTCATGGGCACTATCATGCAGTGATTTATTTCCTGTTGCGACTTCAAGCACCTGTGTCTCCCCATTCAGAAGGAGAAAAAGAAAGTATGATGAAAATCGTTATCAGAAACATCATATGAAAATAAAGGAATCATGTAACACCCCAATTTAACCGTGCAACAAAAAACCCCAACTTGTAAGCAACCACGGAATAACCCTCACAGCTCGCACAATGTAACCCTACCAGAAAAATAACCAAGCTCGAAGCCCTAGCAACTCTTCTTAGTAACGCCCATATATATACACAGAGAGAGAATATTCAAATTTCAAAATAGCACACTTTGGCTAGGGGTGGGTATACGGACCGGTCCGGCCCGTTTAAGGCCCGGTCCATAAAACACGCGTTTCATACGAGCCGGATAAGTCTGGTCCGTAAAATAAATGGACTTATTTTTAAGTCCGTATCCGGCCCGCCAAAATCCACGAATAATGGACCGGTCCGCGGGCCTAAATAATGGTTCAAAAGAATAAATTTTTTAAAAATAAAAATACATAAAATTGGAAGAAAAAAATATTTTTTTGATTTATAAGCTAAATTTTATCATACTAAAATTTATCAATAGTTAAAATGATTTAAAATACTAAATATTAAAATATTTAAATAAAAATATTTAAATAATAGTACCAAATTTTCAATAATAAAAGCATCAAAATGTCATAAAAATAATTTAAATGACAAATACATATCAACTAAACATAATTTTAATGTCATAATAATTTAAAAAATTAAATACACAACTTAATTTTAAAATTGTAATATTTAAAAATAATAATTAGTTAAGTCCGCGGATTAAATCCGCCAAGTTCGCCAACTTCATGGACCGGGCTCAAAAATTAAACATAGTCATACGAATTTGAAAAAAAACGAGCCCGTTATCCGCGGGCTTACGAACCGGTCCACGGATCCAGGTCCATCTACCACCCCTAACTCTGGCACTCCCAAAAGGACAATTTTTCACTTCTGACTATTTTTTCTTCCACGCTCTCAGAAGACCAAGGGGAACCCAAAGGAGAAGACCAACCAGACCTGATTTAGTTTCAGCTACTGTTTATCGAGAGTGATGGCAAGAGGTAGTAATGATCGTGCAAGCACTGATGCTTTGCAAGCAATGGCTCAAGCTCTTGGTACTTTGAACCAACGACCAGAGGTAGATTGGATGGAGAGATTCCAGCAAAAGAATCCGCCAAGCTTCCGTGGGGGTTATAATCATGAGAGCTGCTGATTGGATTTTTGAGGTTGAAAAGATATTCCAAGCTTTGGAATGTCCTTTGGTGCAGAAGGTGACTTTGGCTGCCTTCATGCTTTCTGGAGAGGCTGGAGTCAGGTGGCAAGGTCCTTTGCAGAGGATGATAGCTGCAGGTATCCATGTGAACTGGGAGAATTTCAAGTGGCTATTCATGAAAAAATACTTTCCACGAGATGTGAGGCATACGAAGCAAGTGGAATTCCTTGAGTTGAAACAAGGAGAGAATTATGTAGCTGAGTATGTGACTAAGTTTGAAGATCTAGTTAGATTTTGTCCCATGTATGATGGTGTGGGTAATGAAGAGGACAAATGTGTGAAGTTTGTGAGTGGTCTTCGCCCTAAGATCAAGCAAGTTTTCAACTCCCAAGGGATCACTCAATATCATGAACTGGTATACAAGTGTCGAGTCTATGATGAGGACAACCGTGCTAGAGTAACTCATTATAAGAGTGGAGGACCCATGAAGAATCATAATAAGTTTGGTTTATCTAGTAAGGGTAAACCTTACACTAAGTGTTGGGGATCCGAGTTGTAAAGCGAGTAACCAAAGTTCTGCGCAACAAAGGAGCCAAGCTCCAATTGCTAGCCAAACTTCTAGAGGAAGGAGTATGGGTTCTGTTTCACGCAACAATTGTGGGAAGCTAGGTCAGGGCATAAGAGTGTCGGGTGCCAAACTGTCAAGAGATGGGACACAAAGCTCATGAATGCCCCAAGAACAGGAAAGGAACAACAGAAGTTAGAGGGAGCGCTAGCAAACCTAGGGCGACAGGAAAGGTGTTTGACTTGAGTGGTGTTGAAGCTACTCAGTCCGAAGACTTAATCCAGGGTATGTGTTTCATCAATGGAACTCCTCTAATTGTTTTGTATGACCATGGTGCGACTCACTCTTTCATATCACATGCGTGTGTGTCTAAGTTAAAATTACTTGTTTCTTGTCTTTTGAATTAATAGTAGAGACACCAACTAGTGGTTCAGTTTCTACTTCTGATGTTTGTTTAAAGGGCAAAAATATACTTTTCGTCCCTTATATTATTTATTAGTGTCAATTTAGTTTCATTTTAATTAATTGAATCAATTTAGTCCCACATCTTTAAAATGTATCTCAATGTTTGACTTTCCGTTTCCTCAGTTTAAATACTTAATAGAAGTAACACATGTCATGCCACGTGTCATGTTATCATGTCACGTGTCATGACACATGGCATGATGACATAACACATGGCATGATGACATGACACGTGGCATGGTAGCATGACATGACACGTGACATGGTAGCATGACACGTGACATGTCATCATGACACGTGTCAGCTATGTTAAAGTATTTAAGCGGAGAAAATTGAAGGTCAAACATTGAGATACATGTTAAAGATGTGGGACTAAATTGATTCAATTAATTAAAGTGGGACTAAATTGACACTAATAAATAATATAAGGGAAGAAAAATGTATTTTTGCCCTGTTTAAAGTGTCCTTTGAGTATTGATGGTAGAAATTTCATAGTTCACTTAATTTGTTTGTTCCTGTCGCCCTAGGTTTGCTAAAAGGACATGATTGGAAGATAACTCAGTCCATACCCAGAATAACATCTAGCTGACTTAGAGGCTGTTCCTGTCGTCCTAGGTTTGCTAAAAGGACATGATTGGAAGATAACCAGTCCATACCCAAAATAACATCTAGCTGACTTAGAGGCAAACAAATTAAGTCAACCATGAAATTTCTACCATCAATACTCAAAGGACACTTTAAACAGACATCAGAAGTAAAAATTGAACCACTAGTTGGTGTCTTTACTATTAATTCAAAAGACAAGGAAGAAACAGGTAATTTTAACTTAGACTTAACTTAGACACACACGTATATGATATGAAAGAGTGAGTCGCACCAGAGTCATACAAAAACAATTAGAGGAGTTCCATTGATGAAACACATACGCTGGATTAAGTCTTCGGACTAAGTAGCTTCAGCACCACTCAAGGCAAACACCCTTCCTTCGCCCTAGGTTTGCTAGCGCTCCCTCTAACTTCTGTTGTTCCTTTCCTATTCTTGGGGCATTCATGAGTTTTGTGTCCCTTCTCTTGACAGTTGAAACATGTTATTACTCTTGGCACCCGACACTCATATGCCCTATGACCTGGCTTCCCACAGTTGAAGCAGTTGTTGCGTGAAACAGAACCCATACTCCCTCCTCTAGAAGTTTGGCTAGCAATTGGAGCTTGGCTCCTTTGTTGCGCAGAACTTTGGTTACTCGCTTTAGAACTTAGATCCCCAACAAACTTAGTGTAAGATTTACCCTTACTAGATGAACTAAACTTATTATGATTCTTCATGGGTCCTCCACTCTTATAATGAGTTACTTTAGCACGGTTGTTCTCATCATAGACTCGGCACTTGTTTACCAGTTCATGATATTAAGTGATCTCTTGGTAATTGAAAACTTACTTGATCTCATGGCGAAGACCACTCACAAACTTCACACACTTGTCCTCTTCATTACCCACACCATCATACATGGGATAGAATCTAACAAGGTCTTCAAACTTAGTCACACACTCAGCCACAAAATCCTCTCCTTGCTTCAACTCAAGGAATTCCACTTGCTTCGTATGCCTCACATCTCGTGAAAAGTATTTTTCTATGAATAGCCGCTTGAAATACTCCCAGTTCACATGGGTACCTGCAACTATCATCCTCTGCAAAGCACCTTGCCACCAGACCACAGCCTCTCCAGAAAGCATGAAGGCAGCCAAAGTCACCTTCTGCACCAAAGGACATCCCAAAGCTTGGAATATCTTTTCAACCTCAAAAATCCAATCAGCATCTCCATCATTATTATAACCCCCACGGAAGCTTGGCAAATTCTTTTGCTAGAATCTCTCCAGCCAATCTATCTCTGGTCATTGGTTCAAAGTACTAAGAGCTTGAGCCATCGCTTGCAAAGCATTAGCGATTGCACAATCATTCCTACCTCCTGCCATCACTCTCGATAAGCAGTAGCTGAAACTAAAACAGGATCTAGTTGGTCTACTCTTCTAGGTTCCCCTTGGTCTTTAGAGAGTGTAGAAGAAAAAAGTCAAAAGTGAAAAAATGTCCTTTTGGGAGTGTCAGAGTGTGTTATTTATAGACATAGGAGTGGCCAGAACGACCCGTTTCGGATCTAGAACAGCCCGTTCTAGACTCATTCGTCATGTGTAAAATTCGTATCTGGAACAACTCGTTCTTAAACCAGAATGGCCCGTTCTGGGGTTGAGTTTGACTCATAACGCTCATGTTTGGATCGTCCCGTTCTTAAACTAGAACGACCCTTTCCCAACTAGGGTTATAGGCCATTTTAGTAGTTTGGAACGGTCCGTTCCAGTTCGGGAACAGCCCGTTCTGGAGTACTAAAATTCAAAATATTTAATAAAACTCATTTACTTAATTAAAATAATTATAAGAAAATAATCTCCATAAATATAAAAGTAATAATAATAACTATTATATTAGTAGAAAATTCGGGATGTTACAGCTTTCATCGGGATACTTTTACATAATAATAAAAATGTAAATTCGCCCAATTCAATCTATAATGGCTTAAAAGTTGGGTTCAGTCAGGTTTTTAATTCTGACTGTAAATTGCTAAAATTTCATTTTAGTTTGTATTATACCCTTTCAAGTGTTTTTTTTTTCAGCAATTAAATTTAGCTATAACTCTCATTTTGGTATATGTATAAATTATTACTTCTTATTACCTTTTTGTAGAACAGTCAAAATGGGTCACTTGGCCCAGTTCAGCCTACCACAAGTTGGCCAATAGATGAGTTAACCCAACCAAACTCACCTCATAGTGAGCTTACAAAAAAATGAGTTTGATGTGACCACCACGGGTTGACTCAATTTTAAAAAAATAAAAATAAAAAGTATATATATATATATATATATATATATGTCCAGCCATAATCTGTTTAAAGTAAATGCTTTTACTAATTTGTTTCTCTATAAAATCAATACACAATGGATAAATATTAAATAGCTATACACAACTAGAAATATCAATGCACAATCAGTAAAATACTAAAGTTAAATATACACAATCAAAATGTGCGTGTGAAATCAGAACTATACAGAATACACAATTGCTACACACAATCAGAATTAAAATATTATTAAATATCTATATATTCACAAACCAGAACTATACAACATACATAATTTCTACACACAATCAGAATTAAAATATTAAATAGCTATATATACAATCAGTAATCAGTTACATATTAAATAGCTATACACAATCAGTAAATCAGTAAAATATAAAATAGCTATATAGTATACACATTCAGTAAATCAGAATTAAAATATGAAATACCTATACACAATCAGAACTATACGTGCATGTATCCAAATACAAAATCAGTAAATAATCAGCAATTAACAAGCCATGCCGGTGAGAGTGGCGATGCAAAATCACCTGCACAGTGGCAGTGCGTGGTGGTGGTGCACGGTGGCGGTGCGCGTGGCGCGACGGATCACGGTGGCGGTGCTAGACTGTTGGGTCGCGAATAGAAGAGCGCGGAGAGCGGAGACAGAGAAGAAATCGCAAGCCGGCAAGCCCTAACCCTTCTTCGATTTTCTTTTCTCCCAGGTGAGACCCTAACCCACCCTATGTGGTGGACTATTGGGCTGAATAATTGGGCTAGTGGTTTGTTTTTTTGTGAGTGGGCTACTTCTAGTGTGGTGGGTTTATAAATTAATGGCAGATGTTAAACACACCTCCACTCTCGTATCAACACACCTCCTTTTTTAAAAAATATATATAAAATGTCTAAATTATCCTTTTAAAAAAATGAAATTTCTAAATTTACTCCTCCCTTCCCCGCCCCCCCCTTATCCTGTATAAGCATGTAAACTTTAGTCTGGAACGACACTAGAACGGGCCGTTCTGCAAGAAGAACGGCCCGTTCTGCTTTCAGAACGGCCCGTTCTGCAAGCAGTAAGTCCCGTTCTGCAAGCAGTACGTCCCGTTTTGCAAGCAGTACGTCCCGTTCTGCAAGCAGTACGTCCCGTTCTGCAAGCAGTACAGGCCATTCTGAAAGTAGTACGGGTCGTTCTGGGGCCGTTCTGTTGCAGTACAGGCCACCGCGTCACTTTTAAAATTGTTACTTTATGACTGATTTTAAAACTTCGATTTTAAAATTCATTTTTGTACTAGTGTTTCTTTCCATAGAACAAGTAAGAGTCTTTCTCTTACAAGACTACCTGCTGACATTGCGCACCCCTCTTCTTTCTCTTTGTGGCACTCTTCTTCTTCTTTTTTTTTTCCCACACCTCGCACACCCCTCTTCTTTCTCTTTCTGGCACTCTTCTTCTTCTTCTTACTGTTACGGAAAGTTCTTTCCGGAATTATATAAAAATGTTCCGGAAAATACTTTCCATAATATTAAATTCTTATTCCGGAAAGTATTTTCCGGAAATGTTTTGTTACATAATTCCGGAAAGTACTTTCCATAATATTAAAGTTACTATTACGGAAAGTTCTTTCCGGAATTATATGAACAATAATTTTACTATTCCGGAAAGTACTTTCCGGAATGCTAATGACTGTAAAAGTACTTTCCGGAATGCTAATGATTGTAAAAGAGCCTTTCTTATGCTGGTTATGGTGGGGCTAGTCCTTTTTTTCTATTCAGAATGACTGTAAAAGTATATTACTTAATGACATTGAGCGGAAAGAGACTTTGGGAAGAAGAGGGGTGTGGAGTGTGGGGTGCGGGGAAGGGGGGTGCGGGGAAGAGAGGTGTAAATTTAGGAATTTCATTTTTTTTAAAGGGTAATTTAGACATTTTATATATATTTTTTTTAAAAAGGAGTGTATTTATACGAGAGCGGAGGTGTGTTTATCATCGGCCTAAATTAATAGCTTTAAATGGTGACCCGTGACCGTGAGTTAGCCTGGGTCTTTGAATCTGTTTTTCTTGGGTCTTTGAATCTGGATTTACATCATAGGAATATATGCACCTTTTTTTTATATATTTTTTTAAAAAAATAATTAAATTTTTAAAATATTTTTAATTTTACATCTCTAATGTTTAATTTAGTTTTTTTTTTCATTTTTACACACCTCTTTCCCCCCTTTTTTTGTTTTTCACATATATCCATTTATCTTTCCTCCACCTTTATCTTTACCTATTTCAGTAAATAGTTTTACATTATTCTCTTCCCCCTCCTCTTTCAGTTTTCTTACTATTATTTTTTTCCCTCTTTTAATTTTCACACGAACCTAGAACAAAGAAATAGTTTTCGATAACATTATAAGTGTGTAACTTTCTAACAATATCAAAAGTGTCAAGACAAGTGTGCATTTTTTCTTCAAACACTTTCTCCATTTACACATCTAGAAAACACATCAAATAATTTTAGCATTCTAAAATATACTTTTCGAAATATAAATTAGTGTTGTTGGAAACATTTTTTGAAATTGGTTTTTTAACATACTTTTGAAAAGAAGTTTCTAGAACATTAAATTTTTATTCTGTAAAGTACTTTTTGGAATTATGTAAAACAACATACTTTTGAAAAGAAGTTTTTGGAACATTAAATTTAGTATTTCGAAAAGTACTTTTTAGAATTATGTAAAATAACATACTTCCAAAAATTCCTAAGAGTATGTTATTTTACACAATTTTGGAAAATTCTTTCTAGAATAGTAAATTTAACAGTTCAAAAAGTATTTTACGGAAGTGTCTTATTTTCTATATTTCATAAAATACTTTTCAAAACACTAAATTTATTGTTCCGAAAAGTACTTTTAGGAAGTATATAAAAAAATATAATTCTGAAAAATACTTTTCGGAACACTAATTTCACTATCCTAAGAAGTACTCCAAAATAGTAAAATTAGTGTTCTAGAATATCTTTTTCATAATACTAAATTTAATGTTAAGTTTTTTAGAGGTATAAAAGGAGGGAGAAGTGTTAGAAAAAGAAAAATATGCGTCTAGATTACAGAAATTATCAAGGAAGATGCGCATACCTACAATATTGTCGCGTACCAGTTATACGGTTTAGGTATATGTTAAAAGTGAAAAAGGTGACAAGAGAATAGAGTAATGTAAAAATCGAGAAAATCAAAACTATCTACTAAAATAAGTGAGAAATTAGAAGAAAATAAAAAGGTGTATGTGAAAATTAAAAAAGAGAATGAAGGAGGTGTGTGAAAAAGAAAAAAAAATAAATTAAAAATTGGATGTATAAAATTAAAAAAAAAATTAAAAAAATAAAAAATTATGAATATTTTAAGAATTTTTTCTTAAAAAAATAAAGGAGGTGTATTTATTAAAAAACGATATGTATATATCATGATCCAGGAATGTATTCTATGAACCCCACGCAGGGCCCATTAAGGCATGGCCCTTACGGAATGCTTAGAATACTGTTCATTTTGGGCTTTGTTTCGGTTATTGAGTTAGCCTGGTAAACATTTTTGGCTGTTAGATATTTTTGTTCCTCAAACTCCAATAAATAAGGACTTTAAATCAAAATGAAAAAATACGATAGGTATATTCTACGACTTTCATGGGAGGGATTAATAAAAGAATGACATTTCTTTCTTACTGATAATATTCTTTTAGTTAATCATTTATCAAAAGCAAAAAAAAAAAAAAAAAAAATATATATATATATATATATATATATATGTTTGTGTGTGTGTAGTTTTAATAAAATATTAAGATTTTTATACATTTGAGTTTTTAATTTCAAAATTGAAAATTAGTTAAATTAGTAGGAAATCATTTTTAATGATAATTTATAAACATTTTGACATATATGATGTTGATAGAAGAATTTTCTTGAATGAAAAATAGTTAAGGAAAGTGAAAGCTTATTTGATTGAATAATTTACCAAACAAAGAAAAAAGACATTGACTTCACTTGACTTGAAAGTTCATAAGACAAATCTCAACAAAAATATGACATAAGATTATATATGGAAAGTATGTATAGATTTTGTCTCGTTTTCAAAATAAAGATTTAAATTATAATATAAGAATGTTTTTAGGAATATCTATAATTAATTAATGAAGTTAGGGCATTTAGTTAAAAATAAGAATATTTTAAAATGAGTTGTCTTTAAAATACCGGAGTGAATATGCATTATATTCTTAAACTTTAATATGTTAAAGATATATATAGTTAATTTAAAAATTGAATTTGGAAAATATTTCTACTATATAGTACTTTAAAAATAAATAAATGAAATTTTTTGATTCGTTATTCCATCACTAACTATTATGAAATATAATCTCGTTAACTCATTTATAAACTACTCAATTGTTTCATCAAAGTCCTTGATTTGTGCAATGTTGCCAAATATATATCTCATTCACTTTAGCTATAAACCGAAGATTTTTTTTATATAAAAAATAAACTACAACAATCATTATTTTTCGATGACGATAATGTGGTATAGTACTAAGTTGTGCTTGCGTACATGTTCAATAACCTTTTTGACTCTTTTCATTAAAGCATTTTTTCACATTTTCTACACACCTTTCGGCTTTAGCAATTTCTTTTTGTTTTTTACTTCCACAAGAATAAAGGAGGAAAAAGAGATATGAAAAGGGTTGAGACCGAAAATTAATATGGATGATATAAGTCAATGGTGTTGGGTGGAGCCAATTAGATTTGTGATATAATTGAGTAGCTAGCTTGCTTGCATGCATGCTTATTCCAACTTTGTAGCACTTTATCGTAGAACTTTTTTTATAAAAGTGAAAAGTGGCAATTGAGTAGATTTTCAATGATCGCATTCACATAAATAATAATGGCGATAATTAATATATAGGCCAATGCATTTTCATGCTTGCCCCGACTGCGTAAAACCCTTGAATACTATCCATCATAATAGAGACAATAGTGGTTATTACTAACGTGATCCACAATTATGAAGAGCATGTTTAGTTGAGTAAATGAAAAATGAATTCTAAAACTAACTTTCGTCCAAAAGCATAAGTAAGGTAGATTTGAATCTTCTGACGTCCCTTTGAAGAGCTTTGATCCAAGGAGTCAAGGCTTCCTTCTCATTGATCAACCTTTCTCCATCAATGCTAGCAAGGATGCCATCAAGTTGCTCAATCAAAATTTAGTGACAATTTTTATTTTATCTTTAATTTTGTCTCTACTTTCCTGGCAAAAATTAATCATATTGAAATGACTAAAACATAAAATCATCTTGTTTAAAACCGCCGCAAACTTTGTGACGTAATTCCTTTTTTTTGGTGTAGTGAATGATTGGAAAACAGAGAGAAAAAGAAAGGAGATTGAGAATAAAACAAAAGACAGAATGCAATAATATTTCTGAATGTAACCACCGAAAAATAGAACTGTACAAATATATAACAGAATGAGAAACCAAAACAGAAACTGCCTAGGCTACCTGTTAAACTGGTTATACTAACTAATAAAAGAATATGAAACTAAAATACAATTAGTAAACAGAATGTTGTAATACCTACTGTGATAAGTTGCCAAATGTTATGAGTTGTCTATTGTTATAAGCTGCTTAAGTAACATGATGTTTTTAAGTTGTTTTATAATTATATTCATGATCAATTTGTGTTGTAAGTTGATATGCTAGTTGTGATGTTATGATGATAAGTTGTAAGATGAATGATGATATTTAAGTTGCTAA